TTTCCACCCACTGGCCTGTGAACTTCCTACACTCAGTGTCATTGCAAGTGTTGTGTGACTCTGAAGAGGAATTTACAAACTGGTATCAGACATATGGACTTAATCTGGACTGGGTTGTGTTCTTAAATATACAAATACTCTTTATATAATATAAAGCTCTTTCTTACACACGAGTGTCCATGAATTTGTTTTCTGGTCAACCCAGACTAACTCAATGTGCAACTTTATTATTAATAATAATAAACCACCCTAAAGGTAACTTAAACTCAAGTCCTGCCTAGTAGGTTGGCACTATTTTCAATCCAACCCAGCAAGAAGACACTGGGTATCTCTGATGAGCTAACAGCAATGCCAGAGGAGCTACAGATACAAACACGCCAAAGACACAATAAGCAAACATATGCAAGGAAAAGAAGTCCAGCGTAATGCAGTGGGTGTGAGGCAGTTATGTGATAACAAAAAAAGGGAGCCCTCCCACCAGCCAGCAGCAAGGACCTAAAAAAAAAGTTTTGAGATATAATTCGCATAGCATACAACCCAATGATTTAAATATATTTTTTAAAGTTGTGCAGTTATCACTGCAATGGATTTCAGAGCCTTCTCTTCATTGTTATTCGCTCCCCATCCTACTCCAACTCCCCCTGCTATAACCCTAGGAAATTATTAATCTAGTTACTGATTTACCGATGCTGGATTTTCTACAGGGAACCTTACAAAAAGAAGCCCCAACAAGGACAATCAAACAAAACACAGAAAAACCTCAATCTAGAAGAAAGCAGAAAATCATATAAACTGGAACAAAACTGTAAAGGATGCAAAAGGTGACATGAGAAAGACTACTACTACTTGAAAGGAAAAGGAAAACCGTTTCTAGAACTCGAACTGGCTCACGAGCCTGTCTATTTGCAAGCACAGACGTTAGTTGCTTTCTTTTCCCAAAGAAGTGAGCTTTTACTCATAACCAACAGAAGTGGGGTGGAGAGGAGGGGCAAACTTGTTGAAAAGAAAAAAACAGGGAGTAGAAAATGCGAAGACGAGAAGCCTGTGACCATTGCCTGCAGGTGATCAGAAGTAGCACCCCTTGCTCCTGTCTCCATCTGAGTCCCGTCATCCTCTTCAGGGGCGGGAACAAGGCCTCCCCGGCCAGCTGCCCTGACTCCTAACTACCTGAGCAGCCTGGGGACTGTGCAACATCGTGTTCACATTCCAACAACTGGAGCCTCCTCTGCATTCCAAGAACACTCCCTGCTTTTAGAGGCCCCAGGAACTGGGCACAGGCTATGCCTCCTACCCTTCCTGTTTAACTACTACATGCCCTTCAATTCTCAGCTCCACCTTCGGTCGGGAAAACAAAATATCCCGGATTGTTCTGCACTCAAGAATCTGTCATAAACTCCGATGCATTCCTTCCGTATAGGCCAGTTTATAAATCCTCACTTGGGTGATTCTCCTATCCAAGGCCATTTCAACATTTAGACCAGTGGACCCTAGAATCAGCATCACCCTAGAACTTAACTAGAAATGCAAATACGCAGGCAGCACCCCAACCTACTGAATCAGAAACTCTTGGCAGGGGACAAGGGCAGTAATTTGTGTTGTGGAAAACCACCTCCAGACAATCAGTGCACACTAAAGTTTAGTGCAAACTTTATAAACTCCACGAAGGCTCGATTCTAGTGTTTTTTCTACACGCTAGGATGCCCCTAGTACTAAACACACTGCCAGACAACAGTAGTATGGACTTAGTAAGATGAATGAATGACTGAATGAATGAATGAATGCATGATGTATTGGTGAAAATGTTTCCACAGCTCCCTGTATCACCTGCTTTATTCATTCTAAATCCCTCCATCTAACTTTAAAACCCATCCATAATCTACAAGGACCAATTATCAACAGATCTGGACTCTAGCCTCAGCTTCCTTGGCTCAAATCTTCTGCTTGCTCCATAGTTTTACCATCTATGTGATCCCACAAAGAACTGCAGTCTCGGACACACCACAGGAGACGTTCCTCCCTGTCCCTATTGGGTCCCTATGAGTCAGCATCAACTCCATGGGATTGAGTATGATCTTTGTTTGGTGACCATCCACAAATAATCTCTCTTGGCTCTAATTTCCTCAACCCTGAAATTGTCATAATCATAGTACCTATTTCCTGAGGCTACTCAGATAATTAAGGGCCCCAGTGACATGGTGAATTATGTAACGTGGTGAATTTTGTACCGAGTTGCTAAGAGCACAAGGTGGTAGTTCCCCAACCACCAGCCACTCTGTGGGAGGGTGAAAGATGAGGCCTTCTATCCCCATAAAAATGTACAGCCTTTGTTCTACAACTCTGTCCTACAGGTCCCTAGGAGCTGAAATGGACCTGATGACGGTGAGTTTGATTTGGGTTCAGATAATTAAATGAGACGATGGGAATTACACATGGTAAGCATTTAACAAATGTCCCCAAATCCACTCCCAGTGAGTCACTTTCAACTCACCCAAGTAGACAGAGTACCGACAGGGCACAGAAACTCAAAGAAATAATCCTGTGAGTTTCTGTGCCCTGTGGGTGTCTGTTAACAAGTTTCCAAGCCAAACTCTCTGCCATCAAGTTGATTCCGACTCATAGCAACACTACAGACAGGGCAGAACTGCCTCCACGGCCAGCCCAATGCATGACCTCACTGCACCACCAAGTTCAGGAATTAGTGTGACAGTAATACTCTATTAAGGTCACTGAGCAAAAAGAGTACTAATTATCAGCGCAGTTGTTCAGTTGGCTCTGACTCAATGACCCGGTGACACACAATGGACCAAAATGCTGCCCAGTCCTCTACCACCCCATCATCAGTTGCAGATCAGGCCATCACGATCCACAGGGTTTGCTGTGGCTGGTTTGGGGAAGATCACCAAGCCTTTCTTCCTGCTTTCAAACCATTTGGGTCACTCGGGAAACTATTTGTGACCACAGCTTTCATTTATTGAAGGCTTGCTGTGTGCCCAGTATTGTTCTAGGCACTTCACTTCCTGTACTCCATCCTCACAACGGGTCCCCAAGATGGAGCCAGGATTTGAACCCAGGTCTGCTTGACTCCAGAATGTACTATATAAATGGGTCTGTTTCTCAGAATGTTGGCTTCCTTGGGTTACCATTTTGAACCAGGTGGTTCCACTTTACTCAAGAGTGACCATACTCACTTCAGACATAGTTCTTCCTCTCTGCCCTGTGAGTCACACCTAAAAACATTCCTTCTGGGTCCTCCTTGAACTTCCCCTGCACCTTCAGCAGCAGCCAGGCTGTACCTGACAAACTGGTCTTAGTCTGTTAACTTTCCAAACCAAACTCACTACCACCAAGTTGATTCCAAACTCACTATCATCAAGTTGATTCCAAACTCACTACCATCAAGTTGATTCCGACTCTTGGAAACCCTACAGGACAGGGCAGAACTGCCTCCATGCCCAATGCATGACCCCACTGCACCACCAAATTCAGGAATTATTATGACAGTAATAATCTATTAAGTTCCCTGAGCAAAATGGTTACTAATAACCAGTAATCTTCCAATCTACCTAAAGTGCCTACAGGGCCTCTGCCGCGTGCCAAAACTCACTTCGATAATCAAGTCCTAGCTCAAGCTAGCAGGTGGTTTCAGTTTAGAGGCGGAGCATTCAAGCAGGCACCAAGAGCGGTTTCCAGTGCAATTTTGGTACGTGGTACAGTATTAATAGCTGCAATTAAAAATACAGACCCACCGAACGGATCGTGAACAACTAAACACGATTTCTGCCTCCTCTAAGAAGGAAGATGTATGGTCCAACCACTTGCTTTCAAAGTTCCCCCGTCGTGCTCTGCCTCCAGGCAGCAACCTGTTTGTAAAGCGATGTCAGAAAGGAGAAACCACCGCAGGGACACCAAAAGCCACAGGAGCTCACGCTCCGCCCTGGTGCCTCCTACTGTACGCCTCCTTGCTGGGGCAACCAGCCCATCAGGCAGCCCCCGGGTCTCTCCACGGTCAGCTCCGCCAGGAGCACCTCGTCTTCCGTGAGAGCCGGCCCTGACCTCCCCACCGGGGACCACGGTGCTCCCCGACCCCGCCCGGCGGCCCAAACCTCAGTCCCAAAGTGCCGCTGCCCACTGCTTGGGACCAATGGGGCACTCCACGGGGGAGGCACCGTACTGGTAACATTTCGTACCAGAAGAGTTAAATGCTGAGTAATTTTCCTGCGGAGCAAACTGTGTGTGTGTGTGTGGGGGGGGGGGTGTCTGCCAACAACAACGGTATTTTTATCTTATTTAATCAAGTAGGCGGCCGTGGCTGCAGGAGTCCCCGAGGGCTGCTGCGCCCGGGCGCCAGGAACAACCCCGGAATCGCTGAGCCAGCCGGGAACCCTGGTCGGTCCCCCAGGGCGACGTGGCCGGCACCAGGGAGCCGGACGGAGGCTCCACGCCTCCCGTGCACACACACACCGGACCCCGGACCACTCCGTGACAGCCGGGCCGCCGCGCACACCCGTGGAAACTGCCACCGAGTCACACGCGAAAGAGGCGGGGAGGTAATTTCGGGGCAACAGGCTGAAGCCACCGTGCCCACGAGGTTTGCCCGCAGACGGCGGATGCCTCGGACCGCTCGGAGCCGCGGTCACGGTGTCCCAAGTTCATGGCTAACTCAGCTCGGGTCACTCGGTTTCGGCGTCGGGGCCTAAACGGTATCGAGGGTCGGAACCCAAGTTTCTCGATTGGGTCTTCTGGGCAAAAGTAAAAAGGTGGCCAGGGGAGCGAAAGCTCCCGGAAAAGGCGGGGGTGGGGGTGTAGGACAGGCAGGTACAGCCTGGGGCGCTGGAGATGGCTCCACGAGCCCGAGAGGAGCCCCGGAGCCGGAAGGCTCGCCGAGTACCCTCACAGCAGGCGGCGCGGGCGCCCGCAACCTCGCCACCGCCCGCCGACCCCGGCCCCGCAGCCAGGAATGAATGGGGGCTACCCGGACGGCCCCTCGGGCTCGCACTCACAGGCAACGTAGGCGACCAGAGCGATGCCCAGCAGCAGCTTCATCCTCCTGCGGTTGATGGCAGACACCAGGCGCAGCAGCGCCTTGCTCACCATCCCCGGGTGCAGCGCCAGTCGAGGACCCTGCCGCGCGCCCGGGCCAGCCTGCTGCACAAAGCGCGCGGCGGCGGCGGCAGCGGCAGCGGTAGCTGTAGCGGCGACCGTGTGTAAGCCCCGCCCCCCGGCTGCCCCGCGCCGACCCCGCCCCCGCGCGTCCGGCTTCCTGCCGGCAGGAGCACTGCGCAAGCGCGGCTCCGCCCCCGCCTCCTCCGCCGCCATTCCCCCTTCACTCCACCCCGCCCCAGCGCTTCCTTTCCCCGCAGGCGCAGTTGTTGCAGCTGGCACTCCGGTTTTCGAAGAATGTAGCTGGGAGGGGGGGCGTCGGCGTGGGCGTCGCACATGCGCCGCTCGGAGCTGGCTGCATGGTCAGGGTTTATTTTCTCTCCAACGCGGCACTGCGCTAGATGGGTCCTGAAAAGAAGTCCATGTGCTTCCGATACAAGACCAAGGTTCTGGTCCTTTCCCATCCGGCCTAATAAGGGGGATGTAGTAGGCACTCAAGTGTTGGTATAAAGCAGTATACTGTATTTATTTATCTACAGTGTATTTCGATCTTTGTTTTAAAAAAAACCCACGATTAAATTGGCATTATAAAGTGTTTTAAACGCCTCTCGAAGCAAGTTGACCGTCCTCATATCTTCTTGGTTGGCTTCTTTCGTTCCAATACTTTTTTCCTCAATTCTGACCAACTTTCTAAAAATGCAGAATTTTAAAAGGTACTATTTTAAAAGTAGTGCTGGTTGCACAGATGTATTTAGGTTAAATCAATCAAAAGAAGCGGGAAGATAAAATCACGCTTTGTGCCTAGAGAAAAATACCGAATACCGAACACTGGTTTTATCAAATCTTTCTGTTGTATTAACATTGCTGTGAAAGTGGGTTGACTATTTGTGGCGGTGTGATAAGTGCCTCTGTGGGACCAGCATCTATTTCTTTGATAAGCATTTACTGAATGCTTATTGCCAACAGAGAATCCACAGGGAGCACTTGCCGCATAGAGAGACATCCCTGTCACTCCAGGAGGGACGCTGATAAAAGGTGCCATGCCAGCTACAGGCATTGGTTCTAGGCCATACAACAAAGCAAGACACCGTTTGCCTGTTGTTTCCCTGCGCATATAAAAGTTTTGTTTAATAACATTGAATATTTTGAAATGTGAACATTACCAAAATATGACAGACATGAAGTGAGCACGCGCTGTTGGGAGACTTCTTCCACATATTTTACTAAACAAGCAGCATCTGTGAAGCACAACGGAGCCTTGATGGCGAAGCATGGTAAATTGGACTGCTAACTATGCGGCTGGCGACGATTAGACCCACCTGTAGCTCCTTGGGAGGAGGAGGAGGCTTGAGAAAGCTCCCCTAGAGATAGAGGATTGCTATGAGTTGGAATTGACTCAATGGCAGTGAGGTTTGGTTTTGTTTTAAGATTGACAACCAGATGGCATGAAGAAAAAATGGAGCCTATTAAAAGGAGATATGCCTGTACAAGCTTGTGATTACCTGCTTATTGGGCAATGCAGCGTTGGAGCCTGCAAAATAAGTGCCTGATCTTCAGCCAAAAGTAGAAAGAAAAAAATTTAAAGCAATTCCTCTGAACCCTTGGAACCTGAAACATGACAATCAGTTCCCTTCTAACTTTAGTAGATGGAAGTGTCCTGGTGGTATATTGTGTTAGTCTGGGTAGACTAGAGAAACAAAGCCATGGACACACCTAGGTGTATAAGAATGAGATTCATATATAAGAGGAACTGTACATTAAGAAAACAGCCCAGCCCAGTCCAGTCCAAGGCCAAAAGTCTGATATTAGCCCATATGTCCAATACCAATCTATAAAGTCCTCTTCAGACTCAGGAAATACATCCAATGAAGCCGAATACAGGACGATCCCAAGCCAGTGGGTAGAAAGTCTTTGGGTCCCGTGGTGGTGTAAGCATCTCAGTGCCGGCAGGGGTCTCTCTGTGGCTTCTCCGGTTTCAGAGGTCTGGTTGCGTCCAAGTGGCTTTTCTTCTGCAATGTCTCCCAGGGAGTGGCAGAGAGAGGTGTCTTCCACCTCCAAGGAGGAAGTACCAGAATTCTCAGAAGGCTGTGCCCACACAGAAGTCTCATTGGCTATCTCCAGATTGACAGCCTAGATTCTACCTCTACACTCTTAATCCTTAAATTGACACCAGATTAGGTGACTACCACACATATTAAGTTACATCTTAAGCTGCTAACCACAAGGTCAGCAGTTTGAACCCACTAGCCTCTCTGAGGGTAGAAAGGTGAGACTTTCTGGTCCCTTAAAGATTCACAGCCCCAGAAAACCCAGAGTTAGTTCTACTCTGTCCTATTGACTCTATGGCAGTAAATGAGTGCACTTTATTAGAAACTCTCAATCCCATGCTGTATTTGACTGGGATTTTAGAGAAACTAGACCAGTGACACTCATCTGTGTATAAGAAAGAGCTTTATATCAAGGAGTAATCATATATCAAGAAGGCTTCCTAGCCCAGTGCAACTTAAGAGCACAGGCCCGATGCTAGCCAAAGCCCTCTTCAGACTCATGTAGCTTCAGGCAGATGATCCAGGCAGGTGAAGCAGGATGCAGGAAGATCACAGGCCAGTAGGTGCCGAGTCACCTGGATCCAAGGTCAGTGGCAACATGGCAGGGCACCAACAGCTCTCACAGCTGTGTGACCCACATGGGGCCACGCCTGGAGGCAGGCAGAGAGTCCCAGCAAGCAGGAAGGGTGAAGGGGCAGAGACAGAGGTGAGGGGCCCCAGTTTCTCTCTTACAAAAAGGCCACATCTCCCAGGCGGCATCCTCACCCTGTGGCTTTATTGAAAGGTTGGACTCCACCCCTACATAAGTACAAGTTGACATAAAACCTAACTGCCACAGACTGCCCCTTGTCAAATAGATACTTGTACACACTCTAACCATACATCATTTTTAAACAAACGCAATAATGAAATATTTATGCCCAACAGGGTAAAACTAAAATGCACACAACCAATAATGCACCAGCCCATTGATATATCCTATAAATGAACAAAACACAAATCATCTTTGCCTAACTATTGCAGTTTTGTGAACAGTACACCTAAGTCCTATAGTCCTACCAATGTCTCCCCACACCTAGGAAAGTTTGCAAGCCAGCTCCTTCATGTCTTTATCTCCCCCCATTTTGGGTATCCCATATCTAAGCTACCCATTTCTATCAACCCGGTGCTCCAGGAAGACAAGCCCTCAGTGTCTGTATCCACAAGCAAGGTCAAACCTAGAGCAGACGATGCATCAAGTCAGCAGGTAATATGAACCAGCACATAGGGTCAGACATTTTCCTCGTCATCCAGTCAGGTTGTGGTCAACACAGTCCTAGCCCTGGGGTGTCATAGCAGGCTAGGAGCTCCCCCACAGGACCCACTCCGTTTCAGACCACCAGCCCCTTCACAGAGTTTAACAACCCAGTCCCTTTGGGCTGGGTCATATCATAGGTTCAGGTTCTTCACACTCTAAACTTCAGACCAGCCAGCCCACTTTCATTTCTCCTGTAGTCTAGGAGACCTACAGGTGAACTAGGTCCAGGGGTGTCAGTGGTTAGACTCAATCCATCTCTGCTTTGCTGCATTTCCCCCACTATAACAGGCAGGAAATTTAGGGAAAATAAGATGGCCTCTGACGAATACCCGTGCTAAACAAAAATTAGCCAGCCGTGACACAAATAAAGGGGTTCCTTTGGAAAGAAATCAAGTACACATTAGAAGCCCCTGGGGGTGGCCTATGCAGTGAAAGACCCAAGGCTTGGACATGTTCTATGAAAAGACACAAAGTTTGGGCATGCACAGGTTATAGCCACCTGAGCATGTGCACTAGAAATCAGCAAAACCACGTCTCATACACACACACTTAAAACACATCCATCCAAAATCCACAGACACCCTCAATCACGCCCTCCGTGAAGGGGTGGGAAGGGATAAAAGCAGAAGCAGGTCTCAACTCTGCGTCTGGTTCCACTTCCCCTCCTTTCCAGGCCTCTCAAAAAGTGGCCCATTTTTGGTCAAGGTCTTGGGTCCCCACTGGGCCCAACATGCTTTCCAGAGGCAACATGTACTATGTGAGACTGTAACTTCCTTTTCACCCATAAAAGTTTGCTTGGACTTAAAATCATGCTTCTGCCGTGTGAATTCTTTCAGCGTAGAGAAGCAAGAACAGGGGAAACCATCAATAAGTGGATCTAGGAGATCTCCCAAGGAGCATTTCTGTTTGCCCCCAGGCTCTCTTTAACAGTCCTGCAGGGGGGTTCTGATGGGCCTAGACTTCGGGTCTAGACGCATCCACAAGCAAATCTCTTGCTCAAGAGTCGAAAAGCCAATTATAGTAGAACCCCAGTACTCAACCGCATCAGTGCTCGACATAATTGGATTTCGACTTGAAATGTTGAGAAAATGTTGCATCAGAACGTGAACAAACCATCAGAATCTGACCCAACGCATGTGATTTTTGTAAACAAAAGCAGTTCGTGTTTCGGTTACTCCACAGTAGTTAGTGCTGTTAGTATGCGTTGTTTAAACTTTTTACAGCTGTGTTCCAAGCGTTTTACTATACTTTTCTTAGTTTTTGCACTGTTTTTAGATTTAAAAAAAAACGTGTCCCAAGGCAGAGTTTTTTGAAAAGAATCATCATGATAAGTATCTGGTGAACCGTGTTAGCAATATTGTTGATGATAATTTAGTAAAGCCTTTTAGAAAACAGTTAAGGAAATGCCAACAGCACACCACATTAGACAAAAAAATGTTTTAAGTGACAGCCAGCCAGGTCCTAGTGAAAAAGGGCAAAGAAAGGAAAAAACTCCTGAAAAGCAGCGATGAGCTGATTTTATGGAAGGGGTTTCCCCTTCCAAACAATGCCATACCTGTTCTCCACATCCGTGTCCACACAGAAAAATTGATTCAGCACTCCACTGCCTCGAATCTCAATGCTCCTTCTAGAACAGACTAGAATCCAGGTCCAGGGTTCTACTGTACCTTGTTTTTTCCCCCCTGTAGTCTGCTGAC